GCGACGTCGGCGAGATGTCGCCGTAGCCCACGGTCGTGATCGTCGCCGAGCCCCAGTAGAAGGAGTTGACGTACTGCTTCCAGAGGTACTTGTCGCTGCCCAGGGAGTAGTTGACGTCCCACTTGGGCTTCTTCGTGCCCCACGCGGAGAACGTCGCCGTCGTGTTCGCCACGCCCAACACGTCGGGGAAGCCCACGCCCTCGTAGAACTCGACGTTCAGCAGGTTCGGCGGCCAGATGCCGCCGCGCTCCATGGCCCAGTTGCCGCAGTACTTGTCGCCGCGGGGCCCGCGGCGCCGGTACCGCGCGCACGCGTTCGCCTTGCCCCGCGTGTTCGCGATCGCGAAGAAGATGGACCCGAAGAAGTGGGACGAGATGAGGATGGCGAAGATGAGGCGCGCCATGCGCACCGAGTTCTTGTGGAGCTTGAGGCCCACGGCGTTGCACGACGCCTCGCACCGCTTCACGAGGTCGACGACGTCGCCGAAGCGGATCATCTTGTTGACCCGGAAGACGGAGAGGAACTGGACCTTGGAGAGGTAGCGCAGGTAGGAGTTCGGGAACATGGCCTCGGCGAAGAAGAGGACGTCGAAGGGCACGGAGCACGCGACGTGGCTCCACAAACCGTTTTTCCGGTACCGGTTGAAGATCTTCTTCCGGCTGTGGATGACCTGGTCGCCCTCGAGGAAGGCGACGTAGCGCGCCTGGAGCACGATGTCCGCGAGGAAGACGATGTCGCCGACGTAGTCGATGAAGAGGATGACGACGACGGACTTCTCGATGCCGAAGCCGTCCATGAAGCACACCTTGAAGGGCACGAGCAGCACGTTCCACACGACGAAGAAGAGCAGCGCGAAGCCCCAGAGGCGCATGAAGGTGCCCTCCGGGTGGTAGATGTAGGGCGGCAGCGACCGGCGCCCCGCGCTCATGCCCACCGCGGAGCCCTTGCCGTCGCCGTCGGCCGACGTCGTCTGCCGCGTCGCGCGGTTGCCGTTCTTGACCTTGTAGGTGCGCACGCGCTTCGCCATGTCCGTGAGCTTGGCGCGGACCACGAGGAACTCGGGCAGCAGCCGCACGAAGGCCGTGCGGCTCAGGAACCACTGCTCGTTGTACGACGTGCACGACGCGGTATAGGGGAACGCGTCGACGACGGAGAGGATCGCCGCCTCGGCGAAGGCCTCGTTCGTCGTCAGCGACTTCACGACCTCGCCGTCCAGGATGATGTCGACGTCGCCCGCGGCGATGAAGGACGTGCCGTCCGCGGGCTCGCCCTGGACGACGACCTGCTCGTCGCGCATGTAGAAGTGCTGCACGAGCACGAGCATGACGCTCCGCAGGAAGCCCGCCTCCGTGCCGCGGAAGATCTTGAAGGAGAGGATGACGCGGTGCGTGAGGTACAGCGTCACGTCGTCCTTCATGTTCTCCGCCAAAAACTTGTTGAGCAGCTTCAGGTCGTCGAGGCCGCCCTTCTCGTTCTCCATGTAGTCGAAGTAGGAGTTGACCATGTGCTGCGTCTCCTCGGCCAGCGCGCGCTCCTCCATGAAGGTCGTCATGACCGTGCGCTTGTGCGAGATGTTGTCCTCGGAGATGTCGACGGAGTGCACGAAGGACGTGATGTTCGCGACGATGCCCGCGAAGAAGGTCGCGCCGACGGCGCCGCTGACGACCATGAACCAGGTCTCGGAGATGGTCGACGGCGTGATGTCGCCGTAGCCCACGGTCGTGAAGGTGACGATGGCGAAGTAGAAGGACCGCAGGAACGCGGAGTTGAACGACTGGCCCTCGTCGCCCGTGCCGTGGCCGTGGATGATGCTCCAGAAGCAGGCCATGAAGATGATGAGGAAGATGGTCTCGTAGGTGCGCTGCAGGATGGTGATCGTCTTGTCCTTGATGACGACGCCCTCGCCGATGTCCAGGTAGTCGCGGATCTCCTTGAGGTAGACGCCGAAGTTCAGGCCCCGGAGCAGGTGGGGGAAGCGCAGCGCCGCGAACCACATGGGCCCCAGGTTGAAGCCCGAGTCGTCGCCGCCCGAGCTGTCCGTGATGGACATGAGGATGGGCGCCAGGATCACGTAGGGGAAGTTCGCGACGACGTCGACCTTGAACCGGAACGACTTCACGTAGTGGCTCATGATCTTGCGCTGGTCCGTGATGAGCACCTCCTCCCCGGCGACGATGCCCTGGTGCGCGAAGTGGTTCAGCCGCAGGTACATGTCCACGAGGAACGCCGCGTCGCACAGGTACTCGACCCAGAGCGTCCAGTCCGCGCCCGGCCCCCGGCGGTCCGTGCCGCGCTTCCACTCGTTCGTGTAGAGCATGGCGCGCATGGGGATCATCAGGAACGTGAAGAAGACGGCCACGAAGAGGCCCGGCTCCCAGAAGAGGTGGAACTTGGCGTAGGGCAGGATCAGCAGCCGCTTCGACTGCGCCTCGCGGACGTTCTGCGCCGCGAGCTCCCTCACGTCCGCGGCGCCCGCGACGTCGTCGGCGTCGGCGGACGCGGCCATGTTCGTGTTCTTCGTCTGCCACTGCTTGAGCCGCGCCTGGTACGCCTCGGTCATGGCGACGACGGCCGGGTCGCTCTCCTCGACCTTGATCTCCAGCGCTTTCTTGATGGCCGCGTAGTCCTTGTAGGCCAGCGTGAAAAGCTCGGCGAAGCTCATGCCCGTCTTCATGGCCACGGGGTGCTTGACGTCGAGCACCAATTGGAAGTCGCCGAAGAAGTCGCCCTCGGCCAGGGACGCGATCGCCGTCGGCGACTGCATCGAATACACCAGGATGGGCCCCACCCGAACGATGAACATCTCGCGCTGCTTCTCGTGGGCGTAGACGATGGTCGACTGGGGGATGTAGACGCGCGTCGCCATGGCCAGCGCCGCGGCCTTGGCCAGGTCGTCGTTGCCCTTGCGGACCTCGGGCGCGAAGAACGGCACCTGCTTGACCAAGGCGATCTGCGACTCGAGGACCATCTCCCGCAGCTTCACGGGCATCTCGCCCAGGAGGTGGCGGTCGAGCATGCCCCACTGCTTCGACCACATGTACTCGAAGCTCAGCTTCACGCGGCCCTTCAAGCCGTCGGGCAGGTCGCGGTCGTCCATCAGGGACGCCATCGTGTTCGTCTCGTCCGTGTGGCGGCAGTAGAGCACGTTCGCGTTCGCCAGCACGGACGTCATGTTCGCGATGACGAGCGCGTAGGTCAGGGCCCCCGTGAGCATGAGGAAGAGCGAGAACTGGATCTCGTCCTTCGACACGGGCGCGACGGAGTCGCCGTAGCCGATGGTGAAGAGCGTCTGGACGCAGAAGTACATCATGCGCGCGACGACGGCGTCCCAGGAGCGGTGCTCCTGGAAGACGGCGTCGGCGCCGACCCAGGTCTTGGCGCCGTCGAGGTGCTTCTCGCGCCGCGCGCGCTCGCCGGAGCTCCAGCCGCCGCCGTCGTCGTAGTCGTAGTCCCAGGTGCCCGTGGGCTTGGTCATGTTGCCGTAGGTGCAGTAGGGCGACCGCTTGGGCCGGTTGTCGTTGCAGGCGAGGAAGAAGTAGAAGCTGCCGCAGAACGAGCACATGAAGATGAGCGACACGATGATCTGCGTCATGCGGAACGTCGCCTCGTTCATGATCATGATCTTCTTGTCCTCCAAAATGACGCGCACGGCGTTGAGCTGGGCGAAGAAGAGGAAGATGCGCGACGACCGCGTGAGCCGCGCGGCCTTGAGGCACATCTTCCGCGACACGCGGACGACCTTGTCCTCGTGGCCGCTGAACACGGACTTGCAGACGCCACTGCCCAACAGGAAGTTGGAGAAGGGGTTCGGCAGCGTCACGAGGGGGCTGATGGCCAATAAATTGAGCTTGAGGCGCGCGGAGCTCATGTACATGTCGCCGATGGCCTTCTGGTCCTTGACGATCTCCTTCGTGTCCGGGTCCTTGAAGGCGAACATGAAGCCCGCGAGCGTGTCGAAGACGAAGAGCACGTCGAACGCAAAGTCCACGAGCCGCAGCTGCGACATGATGTTCGACTTCCGCGGCTGCGTCGCGATGGCGATCGGCGTCATGTTGCAGTTGTAGAAGATGACCATGAACATGAGCGCGTCCCAGTAGTTCTTCCGCGGGTCGTCGGGGAGGAAGATGGGCAGCTTGTCCTTGAGCGGGTTCTTGATGACGAAGGGCATCTTGATCTTCTTGTTCCCGGGCAGCTTCAGCATGTTCGCGCTGCTCAGCCGCATCGTCATCTTCGGCTTCGACTTCTTCGGCTTCTCCGCGTCCTCGCTGCGACGCGGGGGGCGCGGGTCAGGCTGGTGCGGCGCTTCCTTCGCGCGGACGGGGGGGGCGGGGGTCCCGCGCGCGGCGCGCGCGCGCGCGGGGCCGCGGGCCGGGCCCGGGCGGCCGCGGCGGCGGCGGCGGCGAACCGTCCCGCCTTGCGCGGCCGCTCCGGCGGCGGCGCGCCGCGCGGGACCGGGCCGCGCCGCGGGACCCGGGCGCGCCGCGCGCGCGCGCGCCTCGACCTTCGGCTTTTCGCGGACGCCGCGAGACGCACCCCATGGTGCTGCCCGAAGAAGGCCGGCCGCCGCCTCGGGCGCGCTCCGCCGGGGCCGCGGATCCGCGCCTATGCCACCGCCACCGGGCGCCGCAGCTCCGACGCGACCACGAGTCTCCCCCTCAACAATTCGACGGGGCAGACGTGAGGCGCTGCCCACCCTCCGTATGGTCTTGTAACGAGAGATGTACTCGGGAGTTATTTTAGATACGCGTTTCCAGCGCTGCGACTGCAATTCC